AATACTAAGCATTTTGTAATATGAGTAAAAGAAAAACAAAATAGCTTGGATGAAATAATAGCTCAATGGTTATTGTTATGTGGGATTAGCACTGTTATAAAGGCGACATATTGACAAAATCATTATGCCATCTTCAATGAAGAAAATTGAGGCTTTAAAAAGTATCTCACTATTTTAATCAAATTAACCCCACACCTGACCAAAAACATTATGGTTTTTATCCCGTTAGTTAAGTGATGAAAATGAAAATGGATTAAAATGTTACAAACCTGACGAATTTTCCATCAGCTATATGTAGCAAAAACATTAATTTTTTAAGTGATACCACATCATCCACATGTCTTTTGGTCTAATTTTCCATCAGCTACAAGACCATGATTCCGAACCAGGTTGTTATAACTAATCGTTAATCTAGCAAAACAGTAAATTGCACCAAAATGACAAGGGTACTTTTGTCTAATTTTGTAATAGTTACAGGATATGTCATGTGATCAGTTTTCAAAAAAATTATCACATATTAAGTATATATAGATTGGGTCAATAATAAAACTGTCGCTTACAGTTTTAGAATTTTTTTAGATCAGTTCTCAGAAAGAAAACTTACATTGTTGCCAAATCAACATGAAAATGCAGTTCATTTCAAACTTGATGTATGCATATTTAACTTCCAATGAACCTGTTGCCCAATATAAACATAAAAGGTTAACATTAATAATCTTTTTTTTTGTGTCTTTATAGACTTGTTATGACTTCTCGTTAGTAGATATTGCATGATTACATAATAATAGATGGAAATGAAGCCTAATTAAGAAAACAACATAAATACAACATAAACTATGAAACACAAATGAATATTGTTTTGTTTTTCTATCCAACCAATATATGAAAACCGTAAATATCCAAGTATATGCTAATGTGGTACAACTATAAATAAGAGCATGATGGTTATAAGTCAATTTTAATTTAAATTAACATTTAAATAATGTACACCTGATGTTTTTAAAACATAAAAAAAATCACCTACTACCACTCTGCATGTTCTACTTTTATCGACAAATACAAACTTGGAACTTGGGTCATCAACGGTTTGCTGATTTGGCAAGGACTACAAATAAAAAAAACCCACAAAATTAGATCATATATGCAGTTTCCAAAAGGACAAAGAAATAATGAGTTTATTCACATATAAAATGCTGATATTGTGTTATAACGGTACCATAAAAAGAAAATCAACATAAAACCAAGGAATAATGATTTTATGAACATATAAACTGCTTCTAAATTAGAATCCTTGTCCGATTTGTAAATCTGCATCAATAAAATGAAAAAAAAAACAGCTTAAATCAAACAAAAAAAATGCTAGTTGAAATTGCAATACCCCTAGACAAAGACAAAACTCGATTACTCAAACAAAAATTCAAGAAATATTTAAACCAAAAATACAAGAACCATGAACAAAATCCATAAAAAATAATTGAAACTTTTTTAAGCTACAAACCCATAAATCTTTGAACCAAACCCATAAATCTTCAAACCAAACACCATTCATCTTTGTTTTAAGCAACAACAGACTAAAACATCAAACACAACCCACAAAAATTCCATTGTAAGTTGTTTGATCGAATCTGGTGGTTGCTAGATAGATAAGGAAGGAGGGAGAGATAAAGACAGGGGTATGGTGACAGTGATTGTGAATGGTGTTCTGACTAAGAATTGATGCAAGGAAGCAAAACGTCATGCCTTTAATCGCCATTTTTTCATTTTCAAAGTCCAATAAATTAAAACATGAATGGGGAAATTGTTAAAATAGTGAGTACTCAACTTGAAACACAAGCGCTATGCGAGGACATTGAAATTAATAACTGTAAAAGTCCTAAACTTCACAGTCGAAATTAAAAAAAAATAAGAAAATCTTACCTTGATATGCGTATGATTTCAAAAAAAAAAAAAACAACGAACTAACCATATGGGCTGGAGGCGGTGGCAGCGAGGGTATTTATGGTGATTAGAGTGAGGATGAAGGAGGAGAATGGTGAAGAAGGTGATGGATTTCAGGACCGTTGGCTCCTGGGTAGTGGACATAGTGATTAGTAGGGTTTAGATCATAGTTGTGGTTGCAGAAGTCTTTGACAGTGGCGGTGAGTGGTGGTAGTGGAGACTGAGTTTTTGAGAGCATATTACTTGGTGAAACCTTGACTCATTCAAAATCTTATCATCTTGTTTGACTTTTTAATATATGTTGACCGGATAAGATTTTCTATGCATAAAATGAATACACATAATGTAGTAAGGCTTGTACCTCTTAAAATTCAACATTTGAGGTTAAATGCTTATTAAGGTGTGTGTGTGTATATATATATATATATATATATATATATATATATATATATATATATATATATGGGAAAAGTGAATATACCCTTAAGGGTATATAAGCTCAGGTACCCAAACTCACCATACTACATCGTTTTGTATCATATATAGACATTGTAATTGTCCAATGTTCTTATAATTCAACTTCGAACTTGAATTACTTCAAAGATTTTTATAAATTTCATATTTATCTTCTTCTTACATAATTGTCATTTTCAACAATAATATATATAGTCTAGTAAGTGTTCGACAAAAAGATGTGAGGTAAGAAGAACATAATAGTGAAATTTTAAAAATATTGAATATAAATCAAGTTAAGGATTGAAGTTTAACAATATTATAATGAATATATCAAACAAAACGACGTATTATTATGAGTTTGGGTACCTAAGCTTATATACCCTTAAGGGTATATTCACTTTTCCTATATATATATATATATATATCCTTCAAGATTTCTAAGATATATATAAGACAACAAGACAAAACTTCAAAAATGGTCCCTGTGGTTTCCAAAAATCTGAAGTTTAGTCCCTAATCTTTAAAAACCTCACAGATGGTCCCTATGGTTTCAAAGCTTTTAATGTCTAGTCCTTACGCCTACTCCGTCAACTTTCTACCGTTAAGTGAGGGGCATTTTCGTCATTTCAATACCAATGACCATTTATGAGGTTTTCTCTTATTATCTTAATTTTTTATTTAAAACAAGAAAAAATGAAAGAAATTTAACCTCTCTCTCTCTCTCTCATCATTGGTACACTAACCTGCTTATCAAACAACGTTGGAGCAATTTCACACCAAATTACTCAATCATTCAGTGGTACACATTTTCGAAATGCTCACGAGGCTGTGGGTTCCCTGTTTCAAGAAAAAGGGGTAGAAGAATACATCTCAGAGTTTGAAGCCTTGACCGGTCTGATTTCCAATCAATCTAAAGAGCAATCAATCGGATTGTTTCTTCGTGGGGTAAAGCCATAAATCAAAAATTGGGTTAGAACACTCAACCTCTCTACATGCGACCAAGCTATGGAATTCTCGAGGAACGTTGAGATGGCAATGGGATTGTACAACGGGAAGACGATTGTCAAAACTTGATCCACTCCTTCCACCTCGTTCTCCCTAGTGTCGGACCCTTTTCACGGCCCATATCAGTTCCAGGTTACTCAAGTCCTAATTTTAAGCATACTTTAGTTTTAATGGGCCGCCCTTTACCTGTTACCCAGATAAAACCCTACCTATAAATTGGAGCCCCGGTACTTGACACCTATCTAAGCAAGAATGGGAGGATTGCAGGAAAAAAGGGTTATGTTTTAGCTGTGGATCAAAGTATACGCCACAAAACAAATGCGCCGAAGGCAGCATATGCGTCTTGCTACTTACCTTACCGACGATGATGAACTCGATGACGCCGACGAGGTAATACCCTCCGACGACCGTAATGACTCCGACATGGTCAACGAGGGGGAGTTCTTATCTCTGGAATCTTGGTGATTTCAATGGTTGAGTTCCTTCAATGGCAGAAACGATCTTCAATAAATAAGAATTAGAGGCGATCTATCGGCTATCATCTTCAGATTCAGATGAGATCCATTGTTTTTTTACATCGCCTGAAGTTGTCAGAACCCTAGCCCTCGTTCTCACTGTCACTTCTGGTATCGTAAGATTGGGAATGAGAATGAACGATGGAATTAGTAAACTGATTGAGAGAGAGACCTTTAAATTTCTTTTTTTTTTCTTTTTTAAAAAAAAAATAGAAAACCTCATAAATGGTCTCTGGGTATTGAAATGATGAAAATACCCCTCACTTAACGGTAGAAAGCTGACGGAGTTAGGCGGAAGGACTAAACATTGTTTTGAAACCATAGGGACCATCTGTGAGGTTTTTAAAGATTAGGGAGTAAACTTTAGATTTTCGGAAACCACAGGGACCATTTTTGAAGTTTTGTCCTTTTAACAATAATAAGGACCTCATTTTGTACACATAAACCCGTATTACACCACGAATCCGTTAATCTTGAATTGTATTAAATCCATCAAACGATTCCTAATATGACACATCTTTTAATTGATTAAAGTCGGATTTCATCATGTGGCTTTAAATTTGTTGTTGTTGATGAATATATAAAGTTATGAAATACGATAAAAAGGGACCCACTATGTTCGTAACAAATATGTTATGGAACTTATGTGATTAGACATTTTATTTATAAATCGAAAATGTAACCAAAATGTAATAACAAAAAAGTATTAAGTAATTTTTGAGCAATTCGATAACTAAGAAACAACTTAACCACTTCATAACTTGAACCTCAACATAAGTCATAATTAGTAAAACAAATTGAGCATGAAAACAAACAGGGTTGTTAACAACATCAACAAAGACTATGATAAAATAATTAAATGTATATATAAAGTTATAAACTAAACCATAAACATGATTGTTTCCAAAAGTTCCATTACATTGGAAGACAATGGGCAAATAGGCTTCAACAACATCTGAATACCATTGATTGCTTGTTAAATCTTTCAAGATTCCATGGCCATGGCTCTGCTTTGATCAATTGTTCTGAAATATTGACCAGTTTGAAAAGTCAACATGCTGTATATGGATGAGTAAAATGAAGAAGCTAGAATTTACAGCATTGAATACAAACACTCCTTGTCTTGTTGTGTCCTTCTGGTCTTGGCATCAACACAGGGCTACCAGTCCATTCGCTTTGAATTCTGCAAAACATTAATCAAACTGCTGATTTTGATCATTTTGTTCTTCAATTTCAAAAATGGTGATATGGGTTTGTTGTAATTACTTACGTTGGAAAAGCGAAAGAGCTTGTACTTGATGAGTCGCTCGATTCCCCCAATGTGTCTTTGTGTTCTTGGGATTCATGCTTCGACCAGTCATTCATCTCCTTGGTTGTGGATGGAATCGACTTTGAATCAACTTCGATTCTCCTTGTTTCATGTTTCTGCAAATTCAGTGTTAAAAATTCAATACTCGAATTTGAAATCAAAGTCGTTAAATCAATGAAGGAGGGAACATTTAAATTGATTCAAAAAAATAAAACCTTCCGACGATCGACGGGATTGACGTTCTGATTCCTCGAAATTGAGTTCTCTAAGCCTCTCTCCTCAATCACATCGACTCCCGCGTCGTCATCTCTGAAGTAAAACACGATGTATTCATCTTCTTCAGATTCACACGATTGCCAGCTTGTCGGCGACTCTTCTCCTCCTCCGCCCTTCTCCGCCGTCGTTCCGAGTTCCAGTACTCCTTTGTCTCTTTGGCGATTCTGATGATCTATTGACGATGGTTTTGGATTCTGGTAATCAGATTCATTTTCTTCTTCCTCTATCGGAACTTTACAAGCTTTGAAACACGAAATCAAATCTTTCATCCGACATCTCATCAACGTATAAGGCGTACTCATGTCTGATTTTTCAGTTTCTAGAAAGAGAAGAGGGAATTTTAGGGTTTGAATTTATCCTTTGATATTTGAAATGTTGAAAAGGATCAGTTATGTGTGAATTGTTGAGCAAATCATGGGAGATATACATGGAAACCGCTTCATAATGCTTCTTCCCTTTTCTAAAATACTCTCTTCCCTCCCAAATAAATAAATAAATAAGTAAGATTTTAATTTAATATCTAATTTAACAAAAATCAGTATTTAATGTTCAAAGAGGGAAAAATAAATTTGAACTTACAATAATTCTGATTTGTTATTGTTAATCATCTTCAATTTGAAGTATATTACAAATATAATCTAAAAACAAGTTATTATTTTTGGTTTTAGCTCTTCCAAATCAATTTTCTGAACATTAGTAAAAATGTTTATTCTCTTCATAAAAATATCGATAAATAATTGATGAATGTAGCGTTGTGAAGTTGTCAAAAAAGGAAAACCGAATTTACAAATCTTCTAACAATGATAAAATTCATTCTTAGTCGGATATAAATAGAATCATAATCTGGTTAATATTCTTATTCCAGATTAACAATTCTATATCTAACTAATAAAAAAACTCACTTCGTAAACTTAAAAACGTATTAGTTTTACATTTTAAATTCATTGTCATGATTCTTGTGTGAATTACGTTCTATTAAAAAAAATATACGGAAAAACCCTCAATCGACTTTATATAAACTGACAAATTCTTTTGATATAAACTCAACGACAAAAATAACTTTCCTTATCTGCGTACATATTTAAGTAATACAACATAATTAAATATCATTTAAGATTACTTGCTTTGTAAGTTTACAAAAAATTATGTCATATTTCAACATTTCATCCTAAAAGTTGAAGAACCTAAATCTATGAAATGAATGGCCAATAAATTATCGTATTCTCCCAAGCTTAGAGCATCCATAATGTACGTTTTATGAAAGCTTAAGGGGTAAAAGAGGTGGTTGATAATGTACGTTTGATGAAAGTTTAATGGATCAAAGAGGTGGTTGATGTTGCATTTGAACATGAGTTGAATTCGTTATAGGTCTCAAATCTCAATCCAACCTCACTTGTTTAATTAGATACGCTGATATTTCCACCTTAACTTAAAATGTTGAACAATTGGGATGAAATTGAGTTGACATGTTTATTTTTGTTCCTAACCTAGCATGTTAAACAAATGGGTTGAATTTATATTGACCTACATAAAAGTTTATAATGTAAATTAAAATAAGAAAATTTTAACTACTAAAATAAGTTAAAGGGAGAACTGCAATAAAGTCCTTACATATTTGTCTCATAATCGATTTAGTCTTTATATATATTTTTTTTATTCAATTAAGTCCCAAAAACTGGTAATCGTATTCCATTTAACCATTTTACCCGATCAAAAGGTTATCCAACTTTAAAAAATTACATTTTTGTCCCAGATTTTGAAATTTGTTACAAAATTGGTCCAAAAATTTACACTTTTGACCCAGATTTTAAATTTTACTACAAATTTGATCCAAAATTTACCCTTTTTGCTCAAATTTTAGAATTTTGTTATGAAATTATCCTAACTTTAGGTTTTTTACAACTTTTTTTCTCAAAAATTTATTTCGAATATGTTTTTTCTTTATAAAATCATATTTTTCAAAAAAAAATTATTTTCACATAAAAAATCTTATATTTTCTATATAAAAACTTTTTTAAAAAAAAACTTTTTTGTATACGAAATACCTATTTATAAAAATAGGTATTTATTAAGTACATAAGCATATAAAAATCTGTTTTCATAAAGAAAATGTATACAGACATGTATTTTACAAAAAAATGTATACAAATACATATTTTATTATAAATACATTTGTATGCAAACACATATTTATAAAAAAAAATGTATACAAACACCTATTTCATAGTAAACGTATACATTTGTTTTGTAAAAACATATTTATATGCACCTAAATAAGTGTTTGTATACATTGCTTTTGTATATATATATATATATATATATATATATATATATATATATATAAACACCTATTTTATAATAAATGCATTTATATTCAAACACTTTTATATGTAAAATGTATACAAACACGTATTATATAAAAAATTATTCAAATAAGTTTTTATAAAAAAATTGTATACAAACACGATTTTATAATAATATATATATATATATATATATATATATATATATATATATATATATCGTACTATGAAAATAGGTGTTTGTTTACATTTTCTTTATAAAAACAGATTTGTATATATTTATGTACTTAATAAATACCTATTTTTATAAATAGATATTTCGTATACAAAAAAAGTTTTTAAAAATAAGTTTTTATATAGAAAATTTAAGATTTTTTATGTGAAATTTTTTTGTATAAATATGATTTTATAAAGAAAAAACATATTCGGAACAAAATTTTGAGAAAAAAGTTGTAAAAAAACTAAAGTTAGGATGAATTCATAACAAAATTCTAAAATTTGGGCCTAAAGGGTAAATTTTGGACCAAATTTGTAATACAATTTAAAATATGGGCCAAAAGTGTAAATTTTGGACCAAATTTGTCATAAATTTTGAAATCTAGGCCAAAAATATAATTTTTGAAAGTAGGATTACCTGTTGGCTGGGTAGAAGGGTTAAATTGAATACCATTACCGGTTTTTGAGAGTTAATTGAATAAAAAAAAGGATATAAGGAGTAAATCGATTATGAGACCAATATATAAGGACTTTACTGCAGTTTTTCCTAAGTTAAAATATCTATAGTTTTTCATGTTTTGAAGAAAAGTACAATCATAAATACATTAAATTGTTCAAATCACATTAGAAATGTTTGATTTCTATTTAACACCACTTCCATTTGAGCACGACTTTCGTCTTGATCTTCTTTAAGTCATGATAGCTCCACATAGCTCCTCAAGTCGGGATTATATTTTTTCTATCAAAATAAATAAATTTTATGTATCTTGTTAATTATAGAAAATGTACATACATATGATAAGACAAATAAAATAAATAAGAAGCTAGAACGGGGAAAATTGAATCCATATCATTTGCCAAAATTAGTTGGTTGATGACAACAATGAAAATATCTATGTGTTTAGGGATGTTTTTTTCGACATATTTAGGCGTGATGAGGTTTTGGCCAAGAAAGAGGCACCTATGAACTTTCTGACTGACTCATTGGAAGAAAGATCAACACTTAGACCAGCTGATGTTTTAGTATTTGGATGGGCTGGAGGGAAGCATGCATGCCTGGATCTAACAGGGGTTTCCCTTCTTGTGAGCTTGGGAAGTGGGGTTTTCACTGTGGGGAAAGCTGCTTTAAAAACTGCATCATGCAAAGTGGCAAAACATGAGAAAGCGTGCATGAAAAATCAACCCACGTTTATACCTTTTGCATTTGATACTTTTCGTTTTCCTTGCAATAGAAGCTATGAAGCTACTCAGTAGAGTCCAACGGGTCATGCATAGTAATGTTATGCCCCCAAGATCTATAGATGTTGTTTTTAGAATAATTAATTTTGCCATCCAAAAACGGGTTGCAACACAGCTTGTTGCTCGTTTAACCGCTACGTCAATGTAAAACTTTATTCTTTAATTAATTTATAATGAGAAGTTATAGAGTGTGTTTGGCAAAGCTTAAAAAATGAGCTTTTTGACTTATTACCGGTTCCACACCAGCATAAGTCAAAATCAGTGTTTGGGTAAAAACGTTTTAAAAAACAGCTTATAGCTAAGGGTGTAAACGAGCCGAGCCGAGCCCGAGCCTAACCAAGCTCGAGCTCCGCTCGTTTAATTTTGAAGAAGCTCGAGCTCGAGCTCGAGCTCGATTCGAGCCTTAAAATGAAGCTCGAGCTCGGCTCGTGAACAATTTAGTGAGCTCGCGAGCCTAAACGAGATTAAACGAGCATATATATATATATATATATATATATATATATATATATATATATATATATATATATATATATATATATATATATAGGCTCGTTTAGGCTCATTTAGGCTCGAGCTCGGCTCGGGCTCGTTTAATTCGAGCTCGAGTCGAGATTTTAACGAGTCGATCCCGAGTAGCTCGGCTCACTTACACCCCTACTTATAGCTGTTTGGAACCTCCAATAAGTCATTTTTTGATAAGTTACTTACCCTTATTTATCAAAAAACTCCTTATTTTACCATTCAAAGAAATTAACAAATATACCCCTTAACCTAAACCTACATCAACACAAAAACATACGCTATAAATTAAAAAGCTTATCACGTTTTGACACCGGATAAACTTAGCCAAACACTTTTTTAGAAACTCCGTTATGATACTGTCATAAGTTAATAAACTATAAGTTAAAAAGTTAAAAGCTAATTTAAGCAAACTTTGCCAAACAACCTTATAATATACATTAAATAGGTCATAATTTAAATATTTATATTTATTTAAAAAATATATAATAGTTAGTAAAAAAATAAAAAATCGCCCCTTTATAAACCTATATTTATTAAAATAACAAATTCAATTCAAATAAATAAATAAATAAATAAATAAAATAAAATAAAATCTCAATATGAACACGCACACTTTTATTATTTTCACAAATTAAAAAAAAAAAAAAAAACAAATTGTTAGATTTATATATTGGCGCGTTTAACCAAACGGACATCACATGTAGAAGGGTTTTGTTCATCGTTTATCCGCGAACCAGTGACACCAGAAGAAAACCCTAAAACCCAGTTGGAAAACTGTTGAATGGAAGAACCAGAGACGCAAATTGAAGTCCGATCCCTAACCGGTGAAACGATGACTGTCTCAATTTCCTCCAGTAGGACAATTCAAGAACTCAAGCTTCTCCTTAAACAAATCTTTCCTCCCGCAACCACTTCCTCGAACTTCCACCTTTTTCTCAAGGTATTCGCTTTCAAATGTTGATACACATGCGTAGAAATGAGTGTGTGAATTTGAAGATTGGGGCAATTACTGCGGTATTGATATTTAATTATTTATGTATGTGTATATAACTATATATCACTGATCATAGAAACTTAAAGACTATAATTGCTTCCAATTTCTTTCAGTTTCTGCGTTACTATAATCTGATTGTCTGCATTGCAATACGTTGATTCAGGGCACGAAACTAAGCTTGCAGAGTCAGATAAGTAGTACCTTGATTTCCCATGGCGAATTTATTGTTCTTCTTCCGTTTACAAAGAAGGACAAACAGAAAATCGTGGAGCCATGTGAGAATGAAACAAATTCTCAAAATTTTCATCAGTGTTCCACCTCAAAGTTTGCTGAATCAGCTTGGTCCGATATGATGCAAGATCTGTCCTCTCTCCGGGATGCAGAAATTGATGGGAATGAGAGTCATACTCAATTTGAATCTGGGAATACAAAATCCAACACTCGAAATGAAGCAGAGAAGAGCTTGATTGATGAGGCAATAAACGAGCTTTTGAACACATTTCAATCATGTGATAGTGATGAACTGGATGAAAAGAGCTGTGAGGGGTTTATGCAAGTTTTGGAGTCAGTTAACTGTTTATCTGATCCAAAAACCAAAAATTGTATGTTAATGAATGCAAATACACGAATCAGTGAATTCCATGGTGCTTCTGGCAGTATTTATTCATGTATTTGTCCATCATGGCTGAAGGTTCTTTTGAAGGCCTTTTATTTCTTGAACATTTACTCTAGTTTTCTTCAAGTGCAGCAGAGAAAAGTTACCCTATTCAGTTTGGAGCGTGGATTTGACCAGCTAAGTAAGTTGGGATTTGGATTTGAATCTGCTTATCTTGAGAATCTTGCTGTGCTTTGTCCTCAGGTAATTGTCCATGCTACAGATCTGTATGACTAATGTGCTGTTTTTTTTGGCTTAAACTATTAAGTCAATCTGTCTTGATAAAGTCAAAAAGAAACATTCATGTATAGCTGTCCAGATTAAGTGCTTAACTCATTAAGGCAAAAAGAAACAGCCTCTAAGATTTATTAGCTCAAGTACTTACTAGAACTGTATCATTGTTCACTCAAAACATGTCTCTTTTTCTTTTGCAGGTTATACAATTTATTGACAATGATGCTGAAGGTAAAAGGTCAAACAATTCCATTGTTGTCATTAAGTCAAAATCAGATCTTAAATACCAAATTAAAGGTATACCTAATCGTTTTATGATGGTTTTATTTGATCTCAAGTCCACAGTGGTTGCATTTTAATTCACAACTAACTTAACTGCTTTTGTTTCTATTTAGGTAAGAGAAAGATGTCTACTCCTAGAGTAGTTAATGCTTTAAAAAAAAGAGAAAGTTCCTTCAGAGCCGATTTATGGGCAGTTGTTAAATCATTTATGGTATGTGTAAATGTTAAAAGTTCATAAAATTTTACTTAGATGATAAGCAAAATGTTTTCATGCAGGAAAAAAAGGGTAAAGAGACAATCAAGTCATTATTTTTAAATGATCTTTTGCTACATGCAACTGAAGGAAATCATAAAGAAACTAAAAATGATGCTAAAAGAACAAAAAGAAGCATGTCTGAACCCTCAGATTCCTTTTCACCTGAAGTACAATGTAAAGTAGGTGTCATCTTTGAGTTCCATTTTTCATTTTTTTTCTTGAAATTCTCTTTACATTTCTTGTTTCTATACAAGTTCATTCACAAAATGTATAATTTTATTTTCATGTCCCATTAATGCTTTCCTTTACAGGAAACGAATCCTTTGCTGCCTACAGAAATGGTTGAGCATCTGAAGACAGGCCTTGGTTCCCAAGGACAGGTGTCATCTTTATTCTTTATCGTTACAAATTTACAAATCTACCCTTCTATGTACCCCAATTATTTAATCCTCTATTACAGATAGTTCATATTGAAGAGATTAATGCCCGAATAGCCAATTTTGTAAAGATTCCAGATTATCTTTCTGAAGGAACTAAATCTGCACTGAAATGTTCAGGTGTCTCAAAGTTATATAGCCACCAGGTATCTTCATTTGTAGTTAACCAAAAATCCATTATTATTATTTTATATTTTATATATTTCTCATTTGTTCTTATGGTATTTTAGGCAGAGTCAATTGAGGCATCAATTTCTGGAAAGAATGTTGTTATTTCAACCATGACATCAAGTGGAAAGTCTCTTTGTTATAATTTACCAGTTCTTGAAGTATTATCTCAACATCCTTCAGCTTGTGCTCTATATCTCTTTCCAACAAAGGTCCATTCTTTTAATTTATTTAGTTAAAATTTTATACCCTTTTTCACTTTTTAGATTTATTTTCATTTCCTTTTAATGAAAACATCAAATTCATCATGTAGGCTTTGGCACAAGATCAACTAAGAGCATTGTTATCTATGACAGAAGGTTTTTATGTAGGCTTAAACATTGGTATATATGATGGAGATACTTCTCATGAAGATAGATTATGGCTTCGTGATAATTCTAGACTGGTATTTTCGTAATTTATTCTTATTTTGAGGGTATCAAATTTGATTATTTTGACTAAATTTGTTAAACTATTTGTAGTTGATTACAAATCCAGATATGCTCCATATGTCAATCTTGCCCTTTCATAACCAATTCCAACGATTCTTATCAAACCTCAGGTTATACTTTATAATAAATGATCATATATTTTAGACAAAATTACATAAATGGTCCCTGTGGTTTACCAAAGGTCACAAACTTAGTCCTTGCTATTTTTTTTTGATACAAATGGTCCTTGTGGTTTCTAAACCCTGTGGTTTCTAAAACTTGCACCAATAGTCTTTGAACTACATAAAATGACTTTTTTGCCCTTTCTTAATTTCTTTTAGCAGGACCAACCACACAAGTTTTAGAAACCACAGGGACTATGTTCGTAAAAAAAATTAGTAGAGACTAAGTTTGTGACCTTTGGTAAACCACAGGGACCATTTATGTAACTTTGTCTATATTTTAGATTTTAAAAAAATATGTTTTTATGTAATAGGTATGTGTTGGTCCAGATAAAAGAAATTAAGAAAGGGTAAAAAAGTCATTTTATGTAGTTAAGAGACTATTGGTGCAAGTTTTAAAAACCACAGGGATCATTCATGCAATTTTAGAAACCACAAGGACCATTTGTATCAAAAAAAATTAGCAAGGACTAAGTTTGTGACCTTTGGTAAACCACAGGGACCATTTATGTAACTTTGTCTATATTTTAGATTTAAAAAAATAGTATGTTTTTATGTAAAAGGTATGTGGTGGTTGATGAAGCTCATTCATATAAGGGAGCATTTGGATGCCATGCTGCTCTTATTATAAGGAGGCTTCTTCGACTCTGTGCTCATGGTATTAATATTAACTATTAACACTAAAATCCAGACTTTATATTTTGTTTCTACTATTGTTTTTGTAAATTTACATATTTACCCTCGAATCCTGCTTTCATATTTGTAGTTTACGGGAGTGATCCGTCTTTTATATTTTGCACTGCAACCTCTGCTAATCCACGTGAACATACAATGGTACTAAAATGATACTTTTTTTTTTCATAATCAGATGACACGTTGCATTATATTTAATTATTTATCCATTTTTTTTTATAACTTTTTAGGAACTTTCAAGCTTACCAACAATGGAGTTAATTCACAAAGATGGAAGCCCTTCTGGCCCTAAACTTTTTGTTCTCTGGAACCCTCCTTTACGCATGAAAAATGTAAATATTTCTTGATTCTTTTGTGTATTTCTAACAAATTACAAGATATTGATTGTTTCTTTTTATGATTTTTTGAAATTTACAGGTTAACAAGAGAAGTAGAAGCAGCATAGATACTGACAAATTTGAAAGAACAGTTTTCCTTGGACGCTCAAGGTATATATGCAAAATTGTGGTTGTCAAAATTATGTGGTTTTGGTACAAAATGTTTTGTGGTGCACAAATGGTCCAATTTTGGATACCTTGTGCGATTTTGGTCCAAAAATGTTAACTTTAACAACTTGACTGTTAACTTTTTTTAAAATGACAATTTTAACTTTAGGGACCATTTCTGCAAGAAAACTACAACAAACCATTTTTGCATCTCTTCTTTTTAATTTTATTCAATTATTATACATTAATTTTTTTTTTTTTAAATTTCTTTTATTGGATTACTTTTTTATTTTATTATTATATATTAATAAATATTATTTTTAATATATAGTATTTATATATTAGTAAATATTAGTTTATTGGATTATTAGTTACATTTAATTAATTTCTTTTTTAATAGATTATTTCTTTTTATCGGATTATTATATATTAATAAATATTATTTTAAATATATAATATTCATTAATATAAAATAATCCAATAAAAAGAAATAATCTATTAAAAAAGAAATTAAAAGATTATTAACTAAACGTAATTAATAATCTAAAATAAAGTAATGCTTATTAATATATAAATATTATATATTAAAAATAATATATAATAATACACTAAAAAAAAGTAATCCAATAAAAAGATTAAAAGAAGAATTAATTAAAAGAATTAATGTATAATAATTAAATAAAATAAAAAAGAATAGATGCAAAAATGGTCCGTATAGTTTGGTTGCAGAAATGGTCCCTGAGGTTAAAATTGTCATTTTAAAAAAGTTAACAGTCCAACCGTTAAAGTTAACATTTTTGGACCAAAAACGCGTATCCAAAATTGGATCATTTTTGCACCACAAAACATTTCTGGACCAAAACCACATAATTTTGACAACAACAAGGACCATTTTTGAAATTTTGTCTATAATCATATTTAAGATATTTTACTTTTGAATTAGCTCTTCAATGATTATAATTTTTGCTTTTTTGTAGTCCTATATTGGAAGTTTCATATCTGTTTGCAGAAAATTATTCAACATGGACTTCGTTGCATTGCATTTTGCAAAACACGCAAACTATCTGAACTCGTATTGAGCTATACGTATGTCTCCTTTTCCCCTTTACATTCTTAATATGAGAAATTACCGAATTAACCTTTGCCTGTTATCAGACGCGAAAGTCTTCAGAAAACCGCACCTGATCTTGTAAATTCCGTGTTTGCTTATCGAGCTGGCTACACTGCTCATGTTAGTATATAATTATATAAACATTCGTTTTTTTTTTCTTTTTTAAACTTTATGTATTTATTGATCTTCCATTTACGTAAATGATAAAATAGGATAGGAGAAGACTTGAAAGCGACCTTTTTAGTGGGAAAATTCGTGGTGTTGCTGCTACAAATGCTCTTGAATTAGGGATCGATGTTGGACACATTGATGTCACTCTTCATCTAGGGTTTCCTGGAACTATAGCTAGGTATGTTAATTTTATACTCTTTTGAATTTTTTTATTTATTTATTCTCATTATTATAATAAAAAATTTCAATTTTAATTAGCTTATGGCAACAAGCTGGAAGGTCTGGAAGAAGGGAACAACCATCACTTGCTATATATGTTGCATTTGAAGGACCTCTCGATCAATACTTTATGAAATTCCCTCACAAACTCTTCAAAGGACCAATAGAATGTTGCCACGTGGATGCTAAAAACCCTCAGGTTCTTCAACAACATTTAGTCTGTGCATCACTTGAACACCCGATAAGTGTTGCTCATGATGAGAAGTACTTTGGTCCTGACCTAAAAACTACATTATTAGCCCTTAAAAGTAAGGGTTATGTCACTTTCAATCCCTCTGCTGAAATTTGGAACTACATTGGGCCTGAGAAAATACCTTCTCGTGGTGTTAGCATACGTGCAATAGAATCAGAGAGATACAAAGTAATTGACATGAAAAATGACCAAGTTCTTGAAGAAATTGAAGAGAGTAAAGCTTTCTTTCAGGTAACTATTATTTTAAACATGGGAAATGGATTATATTTTATATATAATTATATCATATCACCTTATGTTTAATTCATCATTCAGGTCTATGAAGGTGCCGTTTATATGCAGCAAGGGAAAACCTATTTAGTCAAGAATCTTAATTTATCTACAAAAATCGCTTCCTGTCAAGAAGCTGATTTAAAATACTACACCAAGATTCGTGATTTCACTGACATTGAAGTTGTAGGAGGTCACATTGTAAGTTTCAACCTAAATCATCTGTTAATTTCTTCCATTTTATATTTTAAGTTAAATTTTACTTTTATTCCAGGCATACCCAGCAAAAATTCCTAACATTTATCACTCAAAAACATCTGCTCAATCAAATCCATGTAAAGTCACTACTAATTGGTTTGGATTTAGAAGGATTTGGAAAGGAAGCAATAGAGTTTTTGATACAGTTGATCTATCACTTCCTAGTTATACATATGAGTCAATGGCTGTTTGGATACGGGTCCCACAATCAATAAAAACAGCTGTGGAAATGGAGAATTATTCCTTTCGTGGAGGCTTGCATGCTGCAGGGCATGCACTTCTACATATTGTTCCTCTGTAAGTCTAAATACAAGGTAACTTCCAAATGATTCCGGCGGAATTGGAATTTGAGATTCCATTCCATGGTTGTTTGAAACTGAATGTAGGTATATAATTTGCAACTCATCGGATTTGGCTTCAGAGTGTGTGAATCCTCATGATACTCGTTACATTCCCGAAAGAATTTTATTATATGATTCACGCCCTGGAGGAACAGGCATTTCATCACAGGTCAAAATAAACTTGCCACGTCATCTGTCCATGTTGACAAAAAAAAGAAAAAAATACAAAATTTGATAATAATAATAATAATAATATAATAATAATAATAATAAAATATTGCGTGTAGGTTCAACCTATTTTTACTGAGCTTTTAAGTGCTGCATTGGAACTTATCACATCATGTTGTTGCTCTGGTGATGCTGGTTGTCCTAATTGTGTTCAAGTTAGTTTCTTTCCACTTGCTGTTTATTTGTAGTATTTTTTTTTTCTTTTTGTTTTTAATATCTAAATTAGTAATGTAATTTGTACTTTTTATTGTTTGGAATATTTCAGAATCTTTCGTGTCATGAGTACAATGAAGTTTTGCATAAAGATGCAGCGATGATGATTATTAAGGTTATTGCCAAACACCAAATTTAACTAAATGCAAAAAGTAGCATCATATTCCGTATTGTAGTTTCAGTATTTCTTTTAGTGAAAATTGCTTAAACGAATTAATGAAAGTCTATTGCTACTTCATGCATATAATCATGTGTTAATGTTGACTTTACTAAGTTGTGATGTTATTGCAGGGTGTTTTAGAATTGGAGAAATCAAACTTTGCAGATACTTCCACTCTTTCATGACTTGTTGAGCTAGATTTGTAAATATGGTAGGACATTGAACTTTTGGTTAATTATCGTCTCATTGTTTTCAAAAATTAAACAAATCAGTTTTGGAGTTTTGTATATGATTATTTTTGGGATTTAAAAATAAAGGTTGTATTGGTGTTCATTTTTGTTGTATACTTGAAAAAAAATATTTGATTATTGAAGGTTAAAGTATCTTTCAAGATTCGGAACTTAATTGTAGTTTTTGAAAACGTTGATTAAATGGTTTTGATATTATATTCAAAGTATTTTGATATGGAAAAGTAAACCCAAAATGTTACATTGGCTTTAGCAATTTCACTCATGTTCATGATTAAGTTCAAGCATATGCAACGAGAGATGCATTTTTTTTTCTTCCGTAGAAGGTAAAATTATTTGTAATGTTTATGCTTATGATTTTTGAAAGATGAGCGACTAATTTTGCTAATTTCATAATTAATAATGTTTTTTTCGATGTATTTTGTTGAAATATCGGTAAATTGAAGTTTTTATGTAGGAAGCATGAAAATTAATACATTTAGACTTTAGACCAAAATGTAAAAATACGAAATGTGCTATAAAAGTTATAGACTATACAACTCTCGACATGTTTTATTGAAACTGATGGATATTGTTCACATATTTTATTTATTACACCAGTGGTTCATAAAGTGATTTTTTGTTGTAAGGGTTTCATGTTGATAAAAATGGATGAGTGTGTCATTAATGTTAGTTAGAGATGCACATTGATATTGGCGAGAATCTTGGACATTTGGTCTTTTTTTGGATTGTATCTAGACGTTTCGGCCTGTCTGGACCGGTCTTATCTTTTCCGGTCCGGCCTCGCGGTCTTTGAGTGTTTAACGCTAAAATGATAAATTAAAATTTATTAAAAATGATACTTTAAAATTTAATAAAAGAAAGAAAAAAGGGAAAAAGTTGGGTAATGTGTGTTTAAAAAAAATGTAATTACCACAAAAATGATATGTTTATAAGCTTTGACTTCCGGTCTTTTTTGAAACCGCTTTTGGGTTGGTCTTTTTTGGGCCGATCTTGAAACGGTTCGTTTTTTCGGACTGACCCGGATAGTCTCGGCCGGTCTTTTTTAGGATTTTTTTTGTCTGGTCTCGTTTTAGACTGACTTGTTTTTTCAGACTGTCCCGGACAGTCTCCGCCTTTATATTATATAAACATAACTTACCAATTAAACTGTTAAAAGATTTTGATCCTACCAAATATTGTATATGAATCCGATTGTAAGTTTAGGTTACTTAAGGTTTATGATTATAAAAGTTTTATTTCTAATTATACTATTCATCAAGATTCATAAATCTTGTTCTTAAAAAAAATGTAAACCGCATGATATGAACGACTCACGTGAAACCGTCCAAGGCCCATGTAATCGCGTAATACTAGCAATATTTTGAGTGTGTCAGGATTTGGATTTAGACCGTTGACCTCATGTGTGAAATTTAACTCCTCAACCATTAAACTCCCATCATAGGGCTAAATCTTGTTCTTATTGTTAAATATATATGGCTAAATGCAATAAATAATAATATATGTTCATATATTTGTGTTATAATATCACACTTTTCATTTATTTTTATATGGTAATTTACTTTCATTTTATTTCTTATAAGATATTGTACTTTCAAAAAGAACTTTTTCTTCTATTTTTTTTGTTATATTAGTAAAATTGTTTTGTGTTTGGAATTGCTATAAGTTTGAGTGAGCATGGTGCAGTTTTAGGCCAAAACTGTATGCATCAGTTTTTTGTAATCTTAACACTGTGATGTGCAAGTCTTCATCTAGTGCATTGTGATTTCAAGTGTTTGTTTGAATGTATCATTTCAATCTGATCAAGTGAATCCAATTTGATTTTGGTTTTTAGAATACAAATCTAAATATTCGAAACTAAATCAAACAATAAATACGAACAAAGAACACATAGAAAGACTTATATAGTGATTTGTATTGATCAACAACTTTACAATTTGAGAGATAACCAAGAACAAACTATGGTTACGAGAACAAACTCTCAAAGGTAATCTTCACTTAAAGAATTATTGATTACAATTACAAAAGACTTAATGAGAACAAAACCCTAGCATTACATAAATACTAGGTATGGGCTAGATATGCAATCCCTAAGATCAAGAGTCTTATGGTAATCTTGGATGCTCTATCTTGATTTGAATTTTGATCCTTATCACAAATCTTCAGGATCATCATCTTGAGGTGTAAGTTTCTTCAGTCACATTGCAATAACTTCAAAGCCCCACATTGGGTTACCGTCAGCATAAACACACGCTAATACTGATGGGTTTTATTGCATTCTATACATACTAGTTTTGACAGCGGAAACAAAAACGAAACCCTATGTGTACATGCACTCTAATAGATCTAGGTTTGTTCTATTATAGCAACATACTTATAAAAACTGTAAATAACTAACATCTTGATCTTGATCTTCTTGATTTCTTGATTGTGGTCTTGTTCGGGAAACCTTGCTTGGATGGGAGGATCCAAACCAGAATCCCTGTAATGGCATCACATCCAAAACACTAAAAAAGCAAAATTGACAAATCCTAGGAGAGGGGATGAGGAAACGAAAATTCTAAACCCTAAAGGTTTAATTTTCGTCCAAGGAGAAACTAGAGTGATGGAAGAACAAATTGGAATAAGGAATACCTAGGGGTTTATCTCTAGCTTCCTATTTATAGGCTACAATTGCTTAATCCTAAAGCAACTAAAAAACTTAAGGATAGTCCCTATCCTTATTTTATTTTAGTCCCTATCATCTCCTGGAGGGTTCTGGAACATTCTAATTAATTAACAACTTAATTAATTAATATTCAACCTTTTTAATTAATTAAAACTATTTAATTAATTCCAAAATAATTTCCAATTAATTTATTAATTCATAATAAATTAACAAACTTATTTTTATCCTAATTCGTTATTGCTCAAATGGGTCATGATGGCAACCCAAAATGGCCCTATTATTATTATAAATATTACTAATAGTTAATGATCTTGGATACTCTGTCTAACAGTCTCCCATTTGGACAAGTCATCAACTATATGAGGTCTAATACTTCTCCAATAATCCACAGAGAGTTAGCTATCCAATGCAACTTCCAAATCTGATCTAATCAGGATTCGACCCTTAGATAAGTGATCAGTTATTCCTTTGTTCTAGATATATGTATGAACCTGATACATGGATAAGACTCAATCTCAGTGTTCAAAATTATGTTTCCAAATAAAGATTTGTGACGACTACTATAGGAAATAGTGTCCAACGTCATTAATTGTTTTGAAGATATTTCTAATAATAGCAGGGTCCTTTTGGGTTTGCCTCATGACCTAAATAGCATAAGGACATTGAGATAAATAATTTGTTATTTTATTAAGGAATTAGTAAATTAATTAGAAATTATTTTGGTAATTCATTAAAAGGTTTTGAAGATATTTCTAATAATTTGTTATTTTATTAAGGAATTTGTTATTTATATATAAAAGACTATATAAATAGTTTCAAATCAACAGGGTTGACACCCCCACACCTGAGCTGTTCGCTACAGCTAGACTAGGCCAGTCTAGGGTGACAAATATCTTTTCGAAACCGACGCCTGAAGAACGTCATGACAAGCATTTTAGTCATATCATGCATGGTTGTAACGACTCACATAGGGATTAACAAAATGATTTTGGTTTACGGGAAACTTATACTTCATTAGTTTTATTAAAAGAAATGAAACTATATACTACTTTCTGTACGACATTCACTTCCATCTTGGTCTTAGGGTTTAAGATCACAGTCTTTACTAAGAAAATATCGGATTTTCTGGAAATATACGTTATTACGTTACAAGAAAAGGATACAAAGGACTTACTTATAACTTCAGTTTTATTAGCAAAATATCGGATTTTCTGGAAATATACGTTATTACTTTACAAGGAAAGGATACAAAGGAATTACTTATAACTTCAGTTTTTATTAAGAAAATATAGGATTTTCTGGAAATATACGTTATTACTTTACAAGGAAAGGATGCAAAGGAATTACTTATAACTTCAACTTTTACTAAGAAAAGATTGGGTTTCTGAAGTATACGAAACCATCTTTTACAAAACAGTTACAAACCCTTTTTTTATGCAAAAATGCTTATGAACTCACCAACTTAATTGTTGACACTTTTCAAAATCACTTGTATTCTCAGAAAACCAGTAGACAGGTACTCAACTCTCCTTGAGGGTCGGCGTCGTCGTCTCATGTCTTTCTACTTTTCAGTTATTTATATTGAACTTTTGAACAAACAAAGTGTTGTAAACAAATGTAAACTTGTGTTATTAATGTATGAATGTTTGGGTTGCTACGTTTCACTACTATTCAGTTGTTATGATACTGTACATGAAGTCACTCCATCCGCCCCCAGACGTTTCTGCCGTTCTGGTTTGGGGGTGTAACATGGGTTTTCTGGGAACATACAAAGAAAACATGCGTACATACATTTTCTGTCATCGGTATAAGACATACAATTCACTATTATAGAAAATATCGGATTTTCTGGAAACATACTATACTTTTTAAAACAAAACAGATACAAACCATTTTCATACAAAAATGCTTATGAACTCACCAACATTCATTGTTGAAGATTTTCAAAATGACTTGTATTCTCAGGTAATCAGTAAGCAGGCACTTAAGTCATTGGGAACTGTATTTTTGTTGTATTTTGGAATTGTTACTTTTCAGTTAATGTTGTGTAAACTTGAACAAATACACTATGTAACAATGTAAGTTTGTATCTCTTAATGTATGTTGTGTGGGTTGTTATGTCCATTTATATTCAATTGTTATGATACTATACATTGACGTCATCCGCCCCCGGACGTTTCTACAGCCCTGGTTCGGGGGTGTGATAGATTGGTATCAGAGCATTGTTTATAGTGAACTAGTATATCTAACCATACAAGATATACAACTATAAATACAATGGGACTAAAAACACTCTGACAAAAAAAGTATACTTTAAAAATATAAGTATTTTATAAAAAGTGTACATACATACATGCATATTAGAAAAATAACGTTATAATAAGAAACACTTAGAAGAGTTGGACA